TGTTTTGAGGGAAACGACGATATTATCGATATGAAAATCAGACGAAAAATAATTAAGCATGTAGGTAAACTGGAATTATTTTAGTTGTTTTCTAGTTTAATTTTGAATAAATTTTGTGTTAGCCAACTTATTTACTTGCTTTCTTCTTTACCTTGACCTTAATAGAAACTTTCAACAGTTAACCTCAAACGATTTGAGGGCCTCCACCACATGCTCTGCCCATGGGCCACCGAAGTCTAAATCCGTCGCTGTTTTTGTGGTAGCCCGAGTATATTTTTGTATTTTAAAATTTATTCACTGTAGAAGCTCTAAAAAATTCACCAATTGATATTCTAAAGAATAACAAGCTAGGATTGTACCTGTGATTTTACGGCAGGTTTAGTTTTGCCACTGAAAATTTTTGATGATTTTTCAATACACTACTTCAGGTGCCTCCGCTCAGTTTGACGAAAGGAGAGTTAGCAGCTCTTTATGAGTCAGCGATAGCAAAGGGCGAAACTTTGAAACTAGACGCTGGTGATGACACCTACATCCACGCTGCCATTCATGATTTGGACCACTCAGAAAATTCTCCTTCAGAAGATTACAAGCCATCACAAGCTGGTGGGGATTCCACAAGTGGAGATGCATCGGGGTATTACTATTATTATTATCCTATCAAGAGCTTCATCGACGAGATGTCTTCCCAGGGTAGTAGTACAGTAAGTCCTAAAACATGTCAAATGTTCCAGAATTCTTAGTAGGTATGTTGTTTTCTAGTTTGGGGAATATACTTCATATAGGCCCAAAAAGCCTAAAGATGTCCATACAACGCAAAGGCCCAATTACCAGTTTCACTCACATCATCATCAGGTAACTTTCATTGGACCTCTCACGCCCCACACTATAGATATCTTCAAATCCTAGTATATTGGTTCTAGAAAGTTTTTCAGAAGATAACAAACACTTATCTATTATATAATGTAAAGGGTCAGTCAGTATCTCTACATTAAAAGTTGAGGGCACTGATGAGAATGTGTCCAGTTTTCGATGCTTTTGAGTGATATCTCAGTTGTTTTTGGAGATAGAACCTTGCGGTTTTCGCGGTCCTGTGCCACTTTTTTGAGAAGCTCAGGATGGCCTAATCAGATTTTGCATAACTGTTTCCGTTTTTGAGATACAGGGCGATTTTGAAATGTTTATACTTTTTGGGCCTTTTCTGTGTATATGAAGTTTCTCAGCGAAAATATCGAATTCAAATCTTATCCCATATAGAATTGTACGCAGAATCCAGAGGCGGACTCAACTCAATCCCGAAAACATTGAATTAGAAAAAAAAGTTCCAATTGAAGGAATATTTCCTTTGATTGTTCCATGAAGGGAACAAAAACAATACCAACACTTTAATTAACTAACAAAACACAAAACTTAAATACCTGATAGCAACAAATGAATAGTAAGTACTAAAAAGTTCATAACGTAGAATAAGCGTCTGATCAAATATTTACTAAAACAATGTGATTTTGAAATTATTCAGTAACTTATTCATTGAATTGTTCAAATTGATGTCCATTATTTTCTATCACACACTTTCTCAATACGTCTTAATGCATTCAAAATCATTGAAGGATGTCTTTGTAATTCCTGGAAAAATTCCCCTGTTGAGATCGTTATGCCTCTTACAGTATCAAGAAAATGAACATCAATTTGAACAATTGAATGATAAGTTACTGAATAATTTCGAAATTCAATTGTTTTAGTAAATATTTAATCATGTGGCTTATTCTACATTATAAACTTTTTAATACTATTTGTTTGCTGCTATCAGTTTTGTGCTTTGTTACTTAATTATTGTTGATATTTTCATCCAGTTCATGCGAAAATCCAAAGCAAATTTTCCTTCAATCGGAACTTTTTTATATGATAAATCTATAGCCTACTATTAAAATTCAATGTTCTAGTGATTTTTGAGCATTTATTGAAAATTTTATATTCAAACATTATGTATCATTTTGAAGGGATGAAAATAATGAATTTAATGAGCTTATGAAATACAAGGTGTTCGATTTAAAAAATAATAAGTTTGAGTGCCTCACTGAATATAAGTATGAGTAAACATTTTCAAAATCGCCCTGTATCTCATAAACGGAAACAGTTATGCAAAAACTGATTAAACCATATTGCGTTTCACAAAAAAGTGGCACAGGACTGTGAAAACCGCAAGGTTCTTTCTCCAAAGATAACTGAGGTATGAGGTATCACACAAAATCATCGAAAACTGGACACACTGTATCAAGTAATGAAACTAGACCTATTCAGATGAGATGTGTAACTATTTTTGAGTCAAACTTATCTCGATCTATTATCAATACATGATGTTCACGAAGCTTGACCAAACAGAAACCATCTGATTTTTCGCTTTATGTTAGGCATAACAAAGAACGAGCAAAACATTTGGATCTGGGGAGAATGTTTGATCGAAGTTTTCAGTTTCTAAAATACATCATTATAAGAAAAATGATACACATTATGACCTAACAGCACCCACTGCATAAGCTTTTGGTGATGAAACTGCCATGAGTTCTGTGTAGGCTTTGTAACTGACTACACATGCTACCTTAGGAGTATAGCACTTTTTGAACGCAAAACGCAACAGTTGATAATAATAATGATATCACTATTTCAGCACAACATAACCATCAACAAAGAAATGATGGCAGAGGCAGATAAAAAGCCAAAAACTTTGGAGCCCTTGTTCATGGCAATATCAGGATTCATTGGAATGGCTGTAATGTTCGTACTTTCTACGCTGATACTACCGAAATTCGGTTCCAAACCAAGCAAGAAAAACCCCTGGGGAAAGAAAAATGACAATATGGAAGATTTTGCTAGGCTTGCACTCAATGCGATTGACGAAAATGATTGCACTGAAAGGTTCAGATGTGAACTGAGCAAAACTGCAAGAACCTTCAATCTCCAAGATAATAGATTCATAAAGTAAGGGACTCACTGAATATATTCTTGGGACTTGACAATGTACTTTTTCAGGTTACTGAAAAGAATTGCTCCAGCCACATTTGGGAGGTACATGGAAAATGTTCGAAAATATGAATCAAAACTACTGAAGTGCACAGCAATACCCTGTAAAAAGAAAACAAATATTAACAATACTAAGAATAACAATAATATTGATAAAAATATTACTAATAAAAAAAATAATGTTAATAATAAGAAAACTAACAATAATAAGAGTGTTGTGAAGAAGAACAATTCTGCTCAAAAGAAACACTAGTTGCCACCAAAGTCATTAGAATTTAGTTATTTATTATTATTTATTCATTTTATAATTTGAGAATTAAAACAATATTAAATATGTATAATGTTTTATTACATGTAAAAAATGTTAGCATTATAAAATCAAGAAGGAAAAATAATGTTTATATAAATAAATATTTTAAGCTGCAATAATTGCATATACAGTCTTAATTTTGTATCCTAAATACAAACAGCAAATTATTTAAATTATATACATCGATTACATACAAAGTGACATTCACGAAGATAAAAATAATAAAATGTTTTTACGAGGTACAATAAGCAAATTAAAGCACTACTTTGTGAAGCATCTTTGAGTATCCTTAATCTACCACATTTAACTTCACCATTTTTATAAGAAGATTGCCGAAAACAACTATGATACTCATAAATGGTCTCAAAACGTTCAATAAAAAAGTTGGTATGTGTAGTAAAGAATTGAGCATTATTTTCAAATATATACTTATCTAAAAATACAGGAATACAATAATTCTCACATTGAACTGTGCTTCTCAGTGTGTTGAAATCCATCAAGTTCATCCGCAGACTTATCAATAACAAAAGAATAAGGCGAAACTTTGAGGTTCGTATTTTGATATACAGACAGGCAGCACATTAACAGACAAACACACATTTGGAATAAAATTCATCCTTTCAGAATACAGGGTGAGTGAAATTTGTGGAATGATGAATAATGACCAACACTGGAAAAAAAAGTAGTGAACTTTTTATAGAAATAAAATATCATGATTTCATTATAAACTTATATATCATATCAAGCTGCGGCGGATTATAATCCAAACATATCTTGACCATTTTCAGAATGGTTGCAAAATAAATACAATTCCTAATTTCAACTCTTTAAATTTCACAAAACATTTGAAGAGAAAAAAAAAACGTTTCCACTATTAGTCATTATTTGTGATTACTATTCCCCTAGTTTATGCATATTTCAATACAGAAAATTATCCAGAATATAATACAGTGTCTCATATCCGGAAACCATTGTAAAAGTATGCAAACAATTTGTTTACATCATTCAATAAAAGTTGTAAAGTTAAATGGGACAGTATGAATTTGTTATAATTACATAAATAATGTTTCCAGGATGTGCTCAATGTATGGTGATAAAAAATTGTGCAAATAGGATATTTTAACACTGTTCACCAAAAGTACATAACTCCCTGATATATGTCTCAAAAAAATCACTAGTGATGTAAGGTACTCTAAATCTAATATCAACAAACCATCAAAACGGTAAAAAATCAAGAGAGCATCTCCAGTCACATATCTCTCATGTACAAAATGTGCATAAATATTTGTTATCAAAGAGGGTATTGGAATTTAATTTATTTATCATCATTGATCGTTTTATCCAATCTGAACTAATAATAGTAGTATAACCACTGATATTGAAGCACATGCTTGTTAATAAGAGATATCTTTTAATTCGATATGGCAGCTCTAAATTTGAGCAAGCTTCAAATACTTCTAATCAATATCAATCAATACTAATCTAATCAGAAAAATAATATTCTTGCCCAACAAATAAATCTTATTGATAAACTCCTTTGGTTTTTAACAAAACATTTTGGTTTCTATTAGAAATAATAATGTTTCTCGATCGATTTACATCACTTTTAGAATATGTAAATTACTTATATAAAAATACCTAAATATGAATGAAACCAGTAAAGGTTTTTTTTGGAATGAAATATAGAAGTTATATGGCACCAAACCTCCAATACTTATGTTTCACAAAGACCATGAAGTTCTGCATAATTTACAATAGCTCGATGAAGAAATTCGTATTGTGCCTGAAAAAACAAACAATCAATCAATAAGACCAATGCTGCAGAGAGGAACATCTGAACTTACAAATGAATTGATCAAGGCGTGCCTCTGCGACCTCAATTTTCTTGTCACTGTGAAAATATCAACCCTTCTTTCCGTTCTCAACTGCTGTACTAGAATACTCAGTCCAACAAACATTGAACTCCTATCCGAACCTAAATTACAATGCACAACCATAGACGGTGAACACCCAGTTCTCACTAACATGGTATGAGAGTGGTCCACTAGTTCAATAAGCCCCCTCGTAACCTCTGGTACCTAGAAAACGACAGTAACCTTAAGTAGACATGCTGTGATTGTGAAATTACTAGTAATGCACGACGGCTTCTCTAACATCAACGATTGATCTGAAAAGCGACTGAAATGTTGACCGTTCGATCATTTAGATGCGACCTTCAGTTTATTAGGTCTGTAAGAATTGAGCAATATCAAAGGTGTGACAGCAGAGATCAACTAGACCTCAACAATTGAATAAATAAGTAATGTTTCCAATGGGCTCATAATGAATTATTGTCATTCAATTACTCCACTGTTCGAAATTGTTGCATTTCGGAGCTCATTTCGAACGTACCGTCATGACCACCATTTGGTGATACGTCGATTAAATGGTGACGTCAGCTTAAATGCTGTTTGGTTATTGGTCTTCCATCTAATCTTCTATTTCCACTCACGGAGCAAGGTTGTCAAGTCACCAATTATAATCAAGTTATCAAAAAGATGTTAAGAGTCCTGTCGTTGAATAAAAAATAATAGGAGGAACTCATAATATTATAGTTCATTCTTGACTTTTTAGAGAAACCAGCATGTCCAAATATTTCTTCTACTCCATAACAAAATATCATGTAAATGTTGCTGAGAAGGTACAAGACCACATCCACAAGTCGTTTGCGCCGTGCTGTCACGTTCACCGCTTCAAATGTCCTCTAGTGTGAATTAATATAATTACTATTTACACGAATGTATTATAAACAATAAGCCACAAATCATAAGGGAACATTTTGAGACAATTGATTTTGTATTGCTTAATAGTACATAATTGAGAATTTATGAATGTTTGAATAACTAATATGTCAGAAAGTTCCCAATCGTTCCCCTACTTACGAAATCGTGAGGTCAGTTTTTACTCACGGCAAATTTCTAACCGTTTGAAAATTACCGTGGCATTATTGATGATTTTGAAACCTAAAAATCGACCGAGAAGTTCAAAAAAATATGGAATTGCTAGTAGGTATTTGAGTGAGGATTCTATTTAAGGAATAAAAAAATAGTCTACTCGCTTATTATCACGCTTTCAAATCGATTCGGTACACCAAATTTCAATGTAGATTCTTGTGAATACTTTCCTAAATATAGGATTAGCTAGTTTTTGAGAACATATTCATATCCAGAAATCTTGATCAAACTCAAACTCCTAACTTTAGGAAAGCATAGGTTTCCTATATGAATTGATCAATCCCTTATTAATTCTGCAGATCTACTTAGTTTGATTAGATTAAATACATCGACCAGAACAAAAAATCCTCCTTAAATCTCCATGACCTTTCAATCGACGAATTATGGCAACAATAAACCTATTTCAAGGCTTCAAAGGAATTGTGTTGTTCTTCAAAAGTTATGACCTATTCTGTGGTAGCCTGTGTAGATTCAAAACTAATATTGTGGAAATAATGAATACCTAGTTGATGAAATAAATATAATTAGAATACTATATTTCTATGAGTGTACATTTTCATTGCTCCTATTATTATGAATTTTTTGTTATTTTTTTTAATAAAAATGGTGTAACCGTTGAAATAAATGAATTTATTAATACAAATCTGGCAGAAATTTCACTTGAAGCAGAAATATTAACAAGGGTTTATCGATTCCATTTAGAAAATAATAAACAGTAGTAGTAGTAGTAATTCGTCAATAGCATTTAAAATTTTAAGTTAAAAAAAAATATATATTCTGGTTCAAATAGTAAAAGGAACTTACGAAATAGATCATGAGAATATTAACTTTTGTTTATTTCAAGAAGCGTGACTATTGAGAACATTCGGCATGGGATTGTCAATAAATAGAAAATAAACGTTTTGGGCATCATCACATGTTCACTTTTTCTGAACAAAGCCGACGTTAATTCTCCATTAATACATACTCTGCACGCGTAAAGTATCGAAACATAAAGATATCTTTATTGGCAGCCCCATATAATGTGCATCAATAGAAAAACAGCAGACTTTTTTGAACTTGGAATGAAAATGTCCTAATTTGTGAAACCTGGTGGTCAATATTGGCCATTAAGTTTGCATACTGCATTGGCAATATAAAGCTGCTAGTATATCTCGGTAAATTTAAAATCGCTGGTCCATCTGCTAAAGATAACCAGAATTTTGCTTATTGTATCATGTCAAAGACATATTCATGTTTTCATACTTAACGCGCGCACAAAGATTATTTTTATTTATTTTTTGTTCCATGAACCAGCCAAAATTCCAAGAAATTTCCATCCTGGAAATCATCTAATGTATCAATCATACATTATACATACCTCTCCATCAACAGTTGGCCACCCATGGTACTGTAAATGTGTGACCCTCTGATCCTCACCATCTCGACTTTTGATTATCATCTCTCGCCTCGTGTAATAAGGACAACTCTCCGCTTGCACGTATCTAACATGAATATGATCAAAGTGAGAGGATTCCTCTTCGGGCCAGTACCTCGGGCATTTACCCTCCCCTATTTCTGATAACATAACTATAACGCTGATCCCCTGCTCGGATATCATCCTCCAAAAATCATGGACCGTCCCGTCCAACGGATCCTGAGTTATGATAAAGGATTCCGTATTATCGTAGCCTTCGATGAAAGAAGCGTTGATGTACGTGGAATGTTCTTTGCCAGACAGGGGCGTGAGTATTACTCGATTTCTATCGTAAGGTATGATGCTGTCACAGCGATTTTTTTCACGGTTTTCTTCTCCACTTGCTACCGAGCACGACTTTCTGTCTTCGAAAGCATTGATTATGTTTTCGAACTCATCCTCTAATTTACATTTGGTTTTGCCATTATCACATTGTCGCAGTTTATCCAAGGTAACTTTCATCTCACTAGCATTTATTTCCGTGTCGCCATATTGACCAACTTCCATCAGAGCGCGATATATGAAGATATACTGTTTCTGTAATTGAAATAAACACATTCAACAATTTGAAACATGACGAGAATATTTTTATATGATAAAAATTTAGCTGAACTACACTCCCCGACAATAATGTACGGACAATGATAATTCAATATTATCTTAGATTTCAGTTTTCAAAAAATACTGATGGGTTGACCATTATACATGGAGAAACAGTAGGTGCTTTTCAACCTTTGAATACTTGACCGTCTGTTGGAAAATTGAGCGGCAAAATTTAGTTTCATCATGTTTTGATAGGAAGTGTGACCTACTCTTGATAGAATGGTTTCTGATTCACGTCAATATCTGCTTTGTAAGAGAAGATACAGAGTATTGAAGAAAGTGTTGCAGTTTTTTTATTCTATAAACAATCCGGAACATATTACATTATCCTATCTAGTAGCAGAAGCAAACATCAAAAAACTATTAGCACCTATTGCCACCTCGTGTTCATATTACTTCCTTCATATGACATGGCATGATTCCAATGCAATTTTGAATTGTTTCTTCAGAAATAGTTTCCCATCCTGAAGGAGGGTTCTTCGCAGATGAATTGACCATTTTTTTCACTTGTAAAGGATTAGACATTCTGTGCTATTTGTTGGCAGCAATTAGATACTGTCAAATTGGTGTCACTTGTCGAACGCATTGCCTTTTGTGAGTGTCAATAACATATATCTACTACTCATATATGAAGCATAGCTGTCCTCAAAGCGGGACCAACTTCTGTCTCTATAGGTAACAAAATCGACCAATAGGCGTTGATGCCGACGTAGTGAAAAAATAATACGAAACTTGTCGAACCAATATGGCTGTTTCCATCCTCCACTTTCCGTCCTTATAGATTCAAAAAGTACCTCTCATTTTGGTCCCATTTTTGTTGAGATATCGTATAAGCGATGGGCCATATATAGAAATAGTACACATATGGTCAATAATAATAAGTTTGCAAAACGGAGGGTTCAATAATTTGTTGTTCTCATTTTCAATAATTCACTATTGAATGTACATACTTGGATGTCCATTGTATTTCTTGGATGGATCATTTAACAATTAATTCTCCTATTGTTGAATTTTACAATTTTAAGGAACCTGTTGTCTGTGAAAGCTAGTTGAAAACAAAACGGAAAAGTGAATCCTCAATCCGCCATTTTAATCACAAAATCTTCGAAGCCGGAATATTCATTATCAATAAATTCCCTGGAGGTTAGTGAAAATTGACAGTACTAGAAACTGCCACCCTATTTTATGAATTTGAACGAATATTTACCTACTTGTGTAACAGTATCAATTTCACAACACTGAAGCTAAATAGCTTAAAATATTCCATCGAAAATTTCAGAGAAATAGGGTCTTCAACAATGATTGAGTGCCATCATTTTTGATGCGGCGTCTCTTCTCCACCCACGTTAAAGAGACACGCATGTTGGTTACATAGTAATCGGTCACATGGTTTTCAATCAGTGTTTGAAGACCCGTTACCACGTTGGTAAGACAACTTAAATATAAGTATATGACTGGGAAAAATCCTTCAGTTAGTAAATTTCACATAGAAAATCGACTTACCAGAGACTGAACCAAGAAATTCCTCTGATGCCTCAGGTCGCAAATGGTATTGAAAATGGACACTTGCCCCTCTTCTTTCAATTGCAACAGAAGGCAATCCAGAGCTACAAGCGTACCAGTTCGGCCCACACCAGCACTACAATGGACCAAAATGCTACCCTTTTCTACCGAATAAGCTTCGTTCACCCTCTTAATAAACTTTATTATTCCATTAGGGTGTTCTGGTGCCATGAAATCTTTCCACACCAAATAGTGATACTGCACGATATTTCTTTCTTCCAGTTCCTTACCAGCACAAGTTCTCATTATCTTCAATTCTCTCACAATATAATCGGAATATCTGATTTCTTGTATGTGAGTCACGGTGATATCTCCGAATATCTTGTCGCCATCTGTCTTATCTGGCCAATATTTGGCGCACTTCGTTTTACTGTATTCTTCGAGATTTGTCAACATAAGTATTAGTTCCAGATGCTGCTCCCAAATCATTCGCCAAAATTCATTAACAGTTGTATCCATGGGGCCTTGCGCACATATAAACTTTTTCCGTTCTTTGTATCCCAACACATAGTTTGCATTGATATAGTCTGATCCAGCTATACTGTCTACTTGAGTCAACTTGACTCTCGTCTGATCATAAGCTTTGATATCGGGATATCTGTTTTTGTAAACGTTTTCTCTGCTATCGGAAGCTCTGGTGGTTCGGTCAGAAAAACGGTCTGGCAATAGCTCAAATTCTTGCTGAAATCCGTAGTCAGAGTCACGGTGGTGCTCTATGTAGGCAGAAATCAGCTCTGATTTTGTGATAGGGCACATATCAGGAGGGTTCAACGATACTAGCCTTTGACGGCCTCGGAGACTCCTGAAATATTAATTTCATTGACAAAATTCAGTAACATTTTCTCAATATGAACAGCGTTACAGATTCCAGATAAAAAATGTCATCATCAGGACACTGTCGTTTTGTGTAGGAAATATGATTGACTAAACTAGAATTCAATCATTAGGATTGTACTGGGCCAACATTTCATTTATTAAGCTACAAAAATACTGGATGACCCACCAATAAAGAAAGTTTTACCAATACAAGTCTGGAAAATTGGAGTATCACAAGGTTCCATTATCTCTTCATCACAGTTATTTTTATTGCATTTGACGATTTGTTACACAATAAAGTTATACGTATTTCTCATCATATCAATAGACATTCTAGATTGCATTCGAAATGTCAATTTCGTAAGTGTACGAGGAATCGGAAATACAACTATAATAAGAAAAAACTAAGACAAGGTGTCCTAGATATACGTCAAGTATCTTCCCCTACTAATTTTAGAACACAACATCATTCATCATGTTTCCTACCTACTACTACTTGCAGACAAGAGGAGGAATGATCTGGAATGCTCACAATTTGATTTTCATTTGGACGGTCACGCATCTGAGAGCTTTCAACGACTTTCAATCATAACATGACCTAATCACAAAAAAGTGAAGATTATGGGTAGAAAAACATTACCCTGAGAAAATATGTGCTAGTAGTGAAAAAATAGTACCTAAGACACGGTAAGCATCTCGGGAACTGAAATAGCTCGGCTCAGCAAAAAATATAATCTGGGACACCCAATTGGAATCGATATGTGGGCCCTAGAATTTGGTATGATAAATGATACGTTCATCCAATGATTACATTTTCTAGTTACTAGTTCTTCTGTAAAGTTTCATGAGCCTGACCCAATACTGCAGGATCACTGCACAGACGAGGATGATCAAGATTCAAGCGATTCATTATACAGGGTGAAGTTCAAGTATGTGGCGAAACTTCAATGGAAAAGTTGATATAAACATAGGTCCTGAAATGCTTCGTTATCAAGATACAGGGTGTTGAAGATTGATTGTTGTTTTTCATGATTACCCTGTATAAGCTTTCATGATGGCAAATTTTAGTCTGGTTGGTGACTGAAAGTCTCAAAATTTCAGAATAATACTCATACTTGAGGTTATTGGGTAATCCCAATGGGTGTTTTGAGGGCACCGACATTAAAATTTGTAACTTTTGAATTATTCAAGATAGGGTTTTGAAAATTGGTGAGCAGCTAGTGTACCAAATTGCTCATTAATTGACGAAACAATTTTTGTTCTATCACTTCCGGCTTTACTGGAAACGACCCCAACTTTTGATTTTTAAATGGTCATAACGAATTCATCGATACCGGGTTTGATAGGGTTATTTCAAACGAATACGTAGATATTCGCGTTCTAAGTTTCCATATGCTCAATGAGTGTCAGAGAAAGAAGTTTTGATATTGCGAAATCACAGCCAATGAAAACTGAACGCAAATATCTTTGTAATCGTTTGAAATAACCCCATGAAACCCAAGATCGTTGAATTCGTCATGAAACTGAAAGCGATAGAAGAAAAATTGTTTCATCAATTAATGAGCAATTTGGTATACTTGCTACCCACCAATTTTCAAAACCCTATCTAGAATAATTCGAAAGTAACAATCCTGGCCGTTTTTTGTGCTCTTCTCTGTATAACTAATATCAATTTCATTTTGTTCATCAAGATCCAATTCGTGCTTCGGGTTCTCTGATGAGAGTCGATGGTTTCCGCGAGTCACTATTGTCAACACACACAGCATTGTGCTAACAAAAAATAATCTGCAGTCCTAAAGATGACGATAATCTAATGCAAGATAACTTCTGAACCTTCCTATATCACTGTGTAAATGAGAATGATATGGCGCTACACTGAAGAATGAACATCTTAATTTGCCAGAAGTGAACCTAGAAGGTTAGACAGGAACATTGTTGGTTCCCGCAAATACACTGTTCATTCCAATGTTTCGTTTTTGCAACCTTATATTCATACAACTTGAAAAAATATTTCACAATCATTTAATTATTACTTATAACATGAGTATTATTTAGGAGTTTAGGAGATATCATTTTACCATCACAAAAAGTTCAGAACACATTTACATATCCAGAAAAATATTTTCTCTAGATTAAGATATCCTACTATACCAAAGCACTGAAAGTATATAAAAAATCTGATTCTTTCCATTGAGAGAAAAATGTATTTTTGATGTTGTATTATGGCAACCATGGCAATAAATGGGTTAAGCAGGATATTTTTCAATACAAACCTTAATGAAGTTCTGAAAGTGATCATTTCAACTGCTTGTGCATGTGCTTGTTTGGTATAACGATGTAGTATGCATAGTGCCCCAAGTAGTACAAGAATAACAACCACCAACCCACACAAAATTTGAACAATGAGACTCAGAGTTCCTGCAGCTGGTGCTGCTACTACTTCAGGCCCTGGATTCATCATATCCAGATAGCTACTGTATGCAGCCAGGAAAATGGGCCTTGTGTTTCCATGAACTTGAATAAAAGTAATCATGAATTATTGAATTGTGAATATTCCAAGATTACATACCAATTACTTCAACAAAACCTGTATAATTGCTATTTATATCAAGATTGCCGTCATAAGGAGGAAGAGGATCACTTAATATCTCATTTCTTCTAACTCTGTTTGCTAAGTTTGTGGCATTCTTGATTTTCTCTTCTCTGGGGGTGTTGTAAGGTCTCAAACCAATGCATTCATCACATTCAGTGTTTGTTGTGTTATAAACTTGCTCATCGCCTAGGAATACTTCTGGATGAAAGGTTGAACTGCAAAAAATTTGATTCAACTCATCAAATTAGTGGAAGGATGTCAGTGGGATCAAAAATATTTCATTGAGAATATATTTCAACACCCTTTTAATTTCAGTCAACCAGAGAATTTTTCATCTTAGTTGAAAAGAGTATGAATAATAAATAAAAGCAGGGGTAGTGCTTCATACAACCTTGTAGAGCTACTTTTAATGTCAGAATTGTGAAAACATATTGTTCACAACACCTCTCACCTGGCAAACATCTCTGCTACATAAGCTCCACCTCTAGGAGTCCTATGAGCCTCTTGATATGAAACTATGGTCAGATCTTCAGGAGAGGATAGGTCAGATAGTTTTTGTTGAGACTCCATTTTGACAATATAAATGCGGTAACAGCAAATAGGCCCATTCCTTTCTGATACCCTTGGCATGAACAGTTTGAATATCCATTTGCCCTGCTCCTCCATTTTCTTCCAATGAAACCTAGCTAATTTCTGTTTATCAGGTAAAGATGGTGGCATGGTACAATTAAGGGTAACTGGAAGACCATTTTTTCTTAAGCGGGTCACTCCAGAAATCCTGACAGTATAATTTGTGTTAGAAGAAACATTATAAAAACGAGTTGTCAGAGTGGTCTCACTGGTGCTGGTAGACTTTGGGCCCCAAGTTATGTTCTCAAAAAGGCCTTGGTCGTTGATGAAGGATGCAGACCCTTCTAATGTAACCTAAAAATGTAACTCAATTACCATGGAAATATACAAACAAAACAGGGATAAACCAATGAGGAGGCTGATGTCACTCTAGGCAATCAGAAATATGTTTGAAATTTCCAATTTAATATACTTTTTTCACTTTCCATCCCTATTTTGGACACAAATATTTCATTTGTCTATCTACTATTCACAAATAATTCATTCATTAGATGACACCATATAAAATTACAATACCAACAAGACATCACAATTCAATATTTTTTGAAAAATCAATATAGGTGCTTTTATGCACAGGCCACAGGTTCAAAGATTGTTAAGTTAATAAGAAGGCCAAGGAATATTATAATATAATAAATACATTATCTGCATAGAATATTAGTGAACTAGGGAACTAGGGTATTATTAATCTTCATATTTCTCATCAATGATTAGAATGGCATTTTTTATTGAAACCAACCAATCACCAGTCTAGACTGCATACCAACTGTAAAAGTCTTAAGTACATGGAAGGAAATACAAGGGACACTGGATACCCCTCATATTTTAACTTTTTTTACTCACTGTTTGACTGTGATACCCAAAAGGGAACTTACACTGTAGGACATTATAGTTCCATGACGTTCTTTAGGATGGTGCCAAGAAACAAACACAAAATTGTTGTGGCTGATATTGTCAAATCTACAATCCACTGAAGCATTTGCAGGTGGTCCAGCTATCCCATCCATAGTAGTGCCATCTACAGCTTCCGACCAAGGGCCACATTCTTTGCTATAATCACTACAAGCAGCTACTTGGAAGTTGTAAGTTGTTGCAGAATCCAAGTCAGAGAACATGTAGAGGTAGTCTTTGGCAGCAGGTTGGACTGCTTCTCGCTTTTCTGTTGAATTGTATTCTCTTAAAATCAGCTGGTGGTAGTGAATGTGATCTTTGAATTTCTCTGGAGGTGGGGTCCACTTGATGGTAATTGAACTAGAGGTGACTCCAGTTACGGTAACTTTGGGAACAAAAATGGGTTCCTCCTCTAACATTTTGACCAGTGCACTTGTAGAGTACATGCTTTCTCCTTGAGAATTTTTTGCCATTATTCTTATGGTGTATTGGGACCCATTTTTGCTAGTGATAACAGAGTTATTTCTGACATTGAGGACAAGAGAGGTACTACTAGCATTAATCATTGTTTGATAATAAACCCATTCTTCATCTTCTTCAGATTTATATTGTATAATGTATTTCAGGTCATTTGGACTATTTCCATGGTTCACTGTCCAGTTGAAGTAAATTTTGTTTGTACCAATAGGTTTAATGAAATCCAATGTGATTTGAGGTTTGTCTAGAACTAGTATGTCTGTAGACAAATTAGCCTGAGAAATTGGGGTGTTAACAATGCAAGTATATGTTCCATTGTCTTTCTTGGTAACTTCAAAGTTCAGTGATGAGTTTTTGTAAGTGATATTGGTATTTGTAATGTTCCAAGAGAAATCAGTTAATGGTTCATTGTCTTTTAGCCATTTAATGCCTTCAATGGGATAGCCTTTAACCAAGCAGTATAGCTCAACCATCTCATGCATTTTTGCATAAGTAGGCTTGGAGATGTGTACTACTTCTGCAGGTGATGTGATGTTCAACACAATTTGACGAAAATCCAAGTCAAAATCACTATCATTTCTTTTCATGATGGCATGGCATTTATAATTTCCTACATGATCAAACCCAATATTTATAATATGCAAAATTGACACCTCATACTTGTGACCTGATTCTTTATTGATATTCTCACTTTCCATTTCTAGTTTGAAGCTGAAATGAAAAGAAGTTGGAAATTTCAATTCAATTTTGTTGAGATGGAAATCTTTTCACAAAATACAATGGATATAAGCTCTGAACTTTTGAATAATAAAAAAAAGAGTTTTCGACCCAAAATTTTCAGAACCTGTAACAAATATTCATCATGAGATTTGATGATTCCAATTTTGTACATTCATTGCATGCAGTATGTAGAAAACTGGTTCCATATAGATCTGGTATTTCAATGTCAATGGTTTATTTCTGGGGTAATGAATATATGAATGCATATTCTTGGTACTGTCCATAGGTAAACATTTTAATACATAATCAATGAGGATTCTGTATTGTAAATTTTCTACACCCTAGTAGAATAATTATGAATATAGTAATATAGTTGGTAGAACTGTTTATATGCAATTATCAAATTTATTTATTCAAAACTAAAAATAAATATGCTATGCCATACCATATCATCACCTGTATTATCTGAAAAATACAAATACCTTACAGATATTGCAGATATGCAATACTGATAACAGTGATAACCTTTTATTAGTAGTGCATAGGTACCTATGTGCTATCAAAAACTTCCTTGAAGTTTTATAATATTATTATGAATAACTGTCATAACATTCACAAACACAGGAAGTGGATAACTTATCAGTTTTCTCAATTATGATGAATGGATACTCTGATATAGGAATGAGAGAAAACTTCTTACATTGGAATCTACATAATATTCTGGTATTTGAAAAAACACTCACCCTGCTTGTTCAGAAACATTTTTATCATTGAAAGTCCACATCATTTCACTGGACATCCATTTCGTTTTGCAAATAATAGTAATATTCTCACCAAGGGGCAACTGATTTGGGGATTCATGTTTGAGTACTTCAATGGTTATGTTAACATCTTTGTCTTCCTCATCTGTAATCAATGGAACATTGAAAAACCACCTTCGACATGGTATCATGGATTCTACAATAGGGTTAATATTTACCTAGGGGATTGCACCTTACAATCTTATATGTTAGAAATAAATATAAAAAGAATAACACATAGGGGTAATGGGCTTGGCATATCATGGCGAGTTGGGAATTATCACTCCTGGTAGCTCACGATATGTGGATTTTGTCAACCACTGTTCTTTAGGGCCAACAACCAAGAAATAACTTCATTTCTCAAGTACTATCATAGAAAACACCATCCATCATTTCTAAAACAAATAGCCGACTACTTTGTTGTTGTAGGAACCATATTGGATAGGATAGGTTAGTTCTGCGAAGGAGTGATAGAGGGCTAATATTTTCGAAGTTATGCAACCAAGACTACACGCTTCCTCAGAGTCCCAAACTTCTCCAAGCTAGACGCAAGGAGAAGGACGCATCAAATGTTTTTGCGCGGCTCGCTAGAGGTGAGCCACCATGAATCTGACAGCCTTTGCTATAATCATATAATTATTGTTACGTACAATTTCCCTAGAACAATGCTCGTGCCTTAGTGAAGCTCTCGGCTGGAAATTTTCTGTAGAACCCGGATGCTTATTGATGTTAAAATCAGACGAAAAATAATTAGGCCTGTATAGGTAAACTAAAATTATTTTAGTTGTTTTCTAGTTTAATTTTGAATAAATTTTGTGTTAGCACACTTATTTAGTTGCTTTCTTCTTTACCTTGACCTAAATCATAGATTAATTACTCCCACTTATGCCTTAATAGAAACTTTCAACAGTTAACTACAAACGATTTTAGGGCCTCCACCACATGCCTATGATGGGCCACCGAAGTCAAAATCCGGCGCTGGTGTTGAAATAAGAAAATATAAGGACAATTTCCGGTCAAACCGGCAACCATAGCCACTCCTGTATGGAAATTTCAGTATTGGAGCGTTTCTTTCCTTCTCTTCAACTCAGATGGCGCTGCTTTAATATTGTCTATGGAGGGCGCCTCTGAGGGAATATAATGTCGACTTGAATTTTGTTTGGCTAGGATACGCTTAGTCGGCGGTCTTAAGATTGCTGATTGGAAACTGCCCTGCCCTGATCAGAGTGAGAGAGCTCGAAGTTGCGGTCTGTAAGGTGTCTAGCGTGCCCTGGCTAAATCAAAAATCAATAGGCATTCAGGGAAGAATCACTTGTATCAGTATTCGTTTATACGAGTCGATGCATAGTTTCGGGAGGATGTAATTCAATGTTCTGCGTGTGGCATTAGCCAGGAAAGTAAATGTTTTTCTCCCGAAAAAAAAAAAATGAAACCCCGTTATCAAAATCTAGTGAGATTCTATCGTTGGAGCAATTTCTTGATTCCGATGGGATGATACGAGTTGGCGGAAGTATTCAATATTTCTAATGAAACATTTACTAAAAAACACCCAATATTACTTCCCGCCAAACACGCGTGGATACATTCAAAGGTGTCAAACGAAATTGTATAGTCTTTTTCAAGGCAAAACCTCCGATTTTGAACGAGTTAATGGGAAATATTCCAAAGGTTTAGTAGGTTAGTTCCGAAGCGCCCTTTCTCCATTGTTGGTGTAGACTCTGTAGACCAGGGGTGCCTAGCCCATACTTTTTCTTGGAGAGATCGACCTAGCAAAAATAATTGACTAGGAGATCGATATGTAAACCATTCATCCCACCAACTAAAACCAAAGTATATTGACTCCATCATACCATTATTTCAGCCTTTCGAACGTCCACTGCTAGACATAAAGGCCTCTTTTAATGATTTACGCGACGAACGGTCTGCGTTTTTTGCATATTATTAAATTTTCAATCATCCAACATTACAAAAATAATGAAAAATATTACTGATGAGTGATAAAAAAAAAAAAATTATTCGATCGCTGATCCCAACTAGCATTTATAGTCGCGATTACGTAATTACGACTATTGGGTCGACTATTAAGTAATATTTACTAGTTGCGGTTACGTTATAATTACGTCGTTACTACGTATTTACGACCAAAATGGGGAACAAATCACGAGTAATTATTACGGTTTGCCGACGTAGCGGGAACTCACACAATTACGTAATGCTTACGACCCGTCGACGTCGAAATTACGTAAAGATGTAGTAAATTTTCCTACCTGACTTTCTATTTCTTTTCCACTTCATAAAAATATTATTTTCTCTCTTTATTATTCTTCATTTCATCCATGAAGTTCACATTCACGAAAAATGAACAAGTCCAATATGCCTAACCATTCAATAAATAATACAATAAGGACAAACACGCGAAATAATTGATACTCGAACTTGAAAAATTCGAACAACATTCAGTTTTTCGATAAATGTGATGATTTTGCCTCGAAATTCAAGATGCGCCCACAAAATACGGCTCATTTCACCAAAAATATGGTTTTATTTCATTCGGCTATTTTTCAAAAATCATCGTAAATCATGTTAATTTCCATTATTATGCAATTTGTGATCGAACGAATGCTATTATTCTTCATAAAATGATGTTTATCAACAAGAAAAACCAAAATTATTTCCTGTTCAAATGGTTATCACATCAATCAATATGGCTTCCAATCGAAAATGAATCAGAAAGTTACTTTTGGAACTCGTCAGTTATGATAACCTATGTATTGGTAACTTCAACTGAATATAATTACCGAAAAGTTGTTTCAACTATGAAGGAATTGTTTGAGTAGGAATTACCAATATGTTACTTGAAATATCACCAAGAATTGACTAAATTATTAGGTGATCGATCAAGTAACGACAACGTCGTAGAAACCTAATTGGTGACCATAGAGTAATTGCAACTGTGAAGCCTTCTTGGGGTGGTAAGCGTTACCGTAATAATATATCCAAAGTTCCGAAACCTTAAGAGTAGTTTTGAGGAGTGACAGTTTCGAAATAGTTACTTCGTAATAAGCCATGAGAATTTCTCACTTTGAAGTTATTATCTAGTGTAAAAACTACGTAATTTTCACTCACTAAATAACTATCACTGACATTTATACTATGAAGTTCTGAAATAAGTGATAAATACGTTATTATCACTAAATATAGGTAATAGTTTCTTGAACCATGGTGCCTGTGACTGAAAATGCTAGTTGGGATGTCGAAGCATTACATTGGTGGTACTCCGCGAAATTTTCATAATTAGGGATGTTTTCTGTTGATGCTGAACGCAAACAGGCTGTCAGGTGGTTATTTATCAGACGTGTGCGATATTTTGATTTCATTATTCTCATATGCGGAAATGCAGTCTCGCACAGATATGATGATGCAAAGAAAGCAGTTATTTGTAGAGCAATTTGTTTCATAAATGGATATTTTATTTCGGATATTGATGATCGACCAGTAAGAATAAGAATCACTGTTGACGGCTCTAGCTTTTAAATTTATATCCGAAATAAGCTTCAACATTTCATCCTCAAGAGCAGTACATTCTATATTGAAATAGTCGCTACAGCTAGAAGAGATTTCATGAACATTTGTGATCGACTTTGAAAGCCTTCGCGATCGACCGGTCGATCGCGATCGACCGTATGGGCACCCCTGCTGTAGACTATGCTGGGCCTTTCCTAAATAAACAGTTCTTTGAAATCACGAAAATTCGTGAAATCGTATATCTGCAAGCGAAGCTTTTTCAAATTGCTTGAAAATATTAGTTTCACGTCGAGAATTATGTTCTGATATTCACTCTGACAATGGTACCAACTTTGTTGGAGCAAATAGTGAGTTGAGAAATGTTATTGAAGCAATTAAGTCTAATCGTGATGGAGAAATGAGAGGTTTTTTATTACAAAATGCCATTAGAGTTTATTCATATTCAATGTCTTGAATTTTTTGTTGTGCGCGTGTCGAATCTATCACATAACGAATTATTACTTCTTATAGTGGTTGAGAGGCTTCATGAAAATGTGATAAGTTCGTTCTCCGACCAATCCCTCAGAAATTTCACCAGGCTAAATTTAACCAGTCTGACACTTACGGAAGCGTAGTATTGTATTTTATTTCTTTATTCATACTTTTTTTCTGAATTCAGACTTATTTGTCTAGATTCCGACTTTTTTCTCTGAATTCCGACTTTTTGTCTTGAGATAAAATAAGATACACACAACGGAGGCCTTCCTACGCTCGCAGGCACTCGACTTTAATTCTCTACTACTTACAATTTAAGCTTTTCTTGAGAGAGTTACTCTAGATGAACATATATATTATCCCAAACTTTGAACAGTTCTGGAATTTGCGTATACTTCTTATGTACAACCTCTATACCTTGCCTATACATATACTCACTCTTTGTTTACACGGTTTTGGATAAAAATGAAACTCCAAGGAGTTCAGAAACTTTATGCGTCATAGCAAGTGAGGTGAACACATTGAGACTGTACACAAGAGGATAATCTTGGATACAGAAAGTTAGCGAAAGGTAATATTTGTATAGCAAACACAAATGTGTTTCTTTTGTATGATAAATATTTATTCAGTCGAACTATAAGTCGATCGACAACTATAGCGACAACATATTATAGCAGCTAGGTATTCTCAATTTCGCGAAATATATATACCTATAGGTACTCATGGAATTTAATAGAAAATAGAGGGAAGAAGTTCGTATGGTCTGTCCACAACCAGGTTTATTAATATTTTTTCTGAACAGTAACTGAAATATTTCTTTCAATTTTCACAAAATGTGATATCGTGTTGAAATTCATGCGACCCCACTTAAAACTATGCATAGATGACATATAATAATTACTAATTACATGCGTTATAGCCTTACACAGTTTTCGTGTGAATTTCCATCAGAAAATCGAAAGGTGCAGTGTCCCCTCCTAACTAGGAGGGGACAAGGAACTGAAAGAAATATCTTTCTATGTTATAAAATGCACAGCAGGGTAATTTTGTCTTGGGTCCAAGGTCAAATTCCTTCAAATTGAGAATTAAAATTGTTCCTGGGTGACAACATTTTCATACCAGATATAACCATATCACATTTTATTACTTCTCATTTCTTGTATATAATTGCTATAAAATTATTAAAAATCATATGACAATCGCTAGAGCAAGTGAAAAGTATTTAAATACTCTCTGAAAGTTAAATCAGCAGGTGAATGTTAATAATTTTTTCAGATATTTTAATATTTTTCCTCTCGTTTCTTTGAATGAAAATCTGAATAAAATTTCAATACCCATATGTGTGATAAGGATAAAGTGACAGATTTTTCTCCCAGTTTTATGAAAGTAAAGCCCTCTTGAACGCAGGGACATTTTCGTTCTCTTATATTTTTTATTATCAGAAACTAG